ATTTATTAAAATTAAGTACATTGAAAAAAGAACAACATATGGTGATCTATATCAAACTAACTTGTATTTGTAAATGTACTTAACTTAATATGAATTGAACTGAACTGATTCCATTCAGTGTCGCTTTTTTATTTAACACTCAAGTTATTTTCAACTATTACACAATTATTTTTAATTGGAAGTTTTCGTAATTTTTTGTGATAATTAACTTCGACGGGGAATTTTGAATATTTGTTAACTAATGTATCTGATTAAGGATTCTCGTTAAGTGTGAAGGTTCGTAGACCTTAACAGCATTCCGAAAGTGAAGCACCTACTAACGTGAATATTTCTTTTTTCGAAATATATGAACAGCGCAACTTTACGAAGAATGGTTCCAGCGGGATACCACTTACCTACAACAAATTAAAATGTGAGACATTCAGAATTAAGATATGTTGTCATTGCACAACAGAACTGGCCGTAGTTGGTACTGGTTGTGCAACATTGTTTTGTGCCGAAAAATATCTCTGCGAAACATAATCAGATAGTGAAGTTTCGAGTCAAAATCGAGTACTATACTCGGGTCGAATCTGTGCGCTCGTGATCCTTTAGAAATAAATGGGAAGGCAGATAAGGAAGCACGCGCTGGCCACACTGTAAACGTTGTTTCCAGAGGCAGTACTTTGTAGCGCGCGTTCCTATTTGCTGTGTCAGTAATGTCTGGTTTACACAGAATATGAGTTTGTTTTTATTCTTTCCACAAGCTGGTGACGTGCGAAAAACGCACATATTTGCCCCGACTGTAGTTTTGAACTGGAAGTGTGGCCAGCTATCAAGTGAAATTAATTTACGAAACATTGTTTCACGCAGGTTTTGGTCTACATTCTTGAATTTTGAAGTTTTGAGTTGAAAATTATTATTGGGCAGTGTGTTTCAGAAAAGTGAGGCCGACTGATTTGAATTGCGTTTATGAAACATTGTGAGATTTTAGATTCTCAAGGCGGCGAGTATGAAGATGGCTGTCTTTTTGACTTTGCCAGACCGAACGGCAAAACAACCCAGAAGACAGCCATTTTCATTGTTTACTTTTGAGTGTGTAGAAGTTTCGAGCTGAAATGTAACAAACTGTAAGCTGTAGAGCAGAGTTCCCGATGGATGTCGGGATCTTCCACATAGCGTAGGCTGTATCTTACTACGTCCGCTTGGTTGAGCTGATGTGTAAAATGCAATAGGTTTTAATGTTATATCTCATGTATGTTTTTCTCCTTCTCTTTTCAAGCAGCACTGGAACTATATCAAGGTCAGTAAGGTAATACTTTGATTAGCATGTTGCATAACGCTAATTTGACTTTTTTATAATTCAATAACTCTCAACTACTTTAAGCGTATTTTATACTTTTGACTACTCTTTCTACATATGCGAAGTAAGCTATATATTTTACTCCAATTATGGTGCAAGTGCGTGATCTGCGAGTTATTAAACATTCTAAGTAGGTTTTATTTAGGGTACTTGCCGAATATGTTGGGTCTGCTGTGGCGTTGGCGTTGTAAACTTGTGTTTGGATCCGGATCCGACTACCTGTTCACGGTTTTTATTCATCCAAATCCTTGGCGTTCATGATCAGCTTTGTATTTTGTTCGAAACTATGTGTGTAAATGTTAACAGTTGTTATACATTAAATGAAGCGGTCATTGCATATGCTTGACTCACTCTATCTAGTCTTTTTAACGACGTCGTGACAAGTCTAGTTGGGAAAGCGACCTATGCAATGGAGGTGAGTAGGTGGTTTTGTTCTCTGTGGGACATTAGTGCCATTGCTGTGTGCACGGCAGGACAGCTGATATCAGATAGCACAGCGATTGTGTTTTTGAATGACGTGTCCCACTGAATCATGCCAGTCAGTATGGCATGTTCAGAGTGCAGTATTAACGAACACCTAACTAACTAACTAACTAACTAACTAGATGGCTTACCGAACCCGAAGGTTCATCACCGAATTAACCAAAGCCCTCCACCGGTTCCTGTCCTGGGCCAACAAAATCCAGTCTCCTTCAACTCCTATCTCCCATAGACCCCGTCTGAGATTATCCTCCCATCTACGTCTAGGTCTCCCCAGCGGTCTCTTCACTTCAGGTTTCCCGACCAACACCCGGTGCACACCTCTTGCGCGCTACATGCCCTGCCCATCTCATTCTTCTCGACTTAATCGCCCTGACAATACTGGGGGAGCAGTACAGATTTTTAAGCTCGTCATTGTGCAGTTTTCTCCACGCCCCATCGTCTTCCCTCTTAGGCCCAAATATCCTCCTCAACACCCGATTCTCAAAACCCTGCAATCTGTGTTCCTCCCTCTGAGTGAGAGACCATGTTTCGCACCCATACAAAACAACAGGCAAGATTATTGTTTTGTATACTTTAATTTTCAGGTTCTTAGAAATCAGACGGGAAGACAAAATATTTTGAACTGAGAAGTAGCAAGCATTTCCGGAATTTAGTCTCCTCCTAACTTCCTCACGAGTAACATTTTGATTTGATATTGTTGTTCCCAAATATTTGAACTTTGTAACGAACACCTAAGCCAAATAAATCATGCCATCACTTGGAATATGTTGTTCGACGTTGGTATCTTGAACCATTGAATGCATATTATCCCTTCAAGGGATATCGTATCTAGAGATGTTTGGAAATAGTATTTACTTCAATTCATATTTTTAATCGAAGCCAAATTTGCTTTAACAGTCTCTGAACAAGGCCAAATCGTAGAAACGTCGCAGGGCAAATCCAGAGATTCGATCATGAAGCCCGCATCTCTGATCATCTAGCCCAGTGGTCCGCAACGCGGTGCCCGCGGGTGCCATGGCCCCCGCCAAGGCTTTTTTTTTGGGTGCCCGTGTTGATACGGAAAGAGGTTATACTGAATAATGAAGGCCGTTCAACCATGAACATCATAAAATCAAAGCACAGATCTCAACTTACTGACACCCATCTTGACGATTGTTTGCTAGCAGCAACATCATCCTACACTCCCAAATTTGAAAAACTGGCCGATGAAATGCAGTGCCAAACATCACACTAACTTCCCACTTGAGTAATAATAATTGTACTTATAAAAGTACGTATTTGTGATTGCGTGGTTTCTTGTATCATTAAACGTGTTGTTTTGCGTATTATTTGGTGTCCATATCTTATTTGTCCAGAGAAAAGAAAATTTGGCTTTGTTAATTGGTTGGTGCTCGCCACGATCTCATAAACTCTCAAATGTGCCCGTAGGCACAAAAATGTTGGGGACCACTGATCTAGCCTGTCTGCTGTTAAATGCAGCTTACGATGTTTAATGCTCAGAATTTTGGTTTTCCTCCGGGATTCATGTAACAACGTTTTGACCTTAGGCCCTTCTCTTTTTGGAACGTTCTGTGAAGATATTATCAGTGTCGCTTTGCGCGTGTCGAAACTTTAAACATTCGTTAAAACGTGGTCCATAAACTAGATTTTATTTTTACGGATACATTTATCTTGCTTTTTCAGACTTTGTATCCACTTCATATTTTTATCCTGTCTTGTCGCTTGGTGTTCATCATCATCATATGTTTTGTTTGCAATTTTTTGCACCACACCTAAGCGTTTTTGTACTTGCACTTATTCGGAGAAGTATTATCTATGAGCGCTTGATGTCGTCTAATTATATTTCTCAGACTGGAACAGATGACCTGAAGAGCAGATATCTTAATATCTGATAACCTAGGCATGGGGAATTTAGAGCGTGTTTCTGTCTTTTACTCCACTGATGCTGTCGTTTACTGACAAGATTACTTATCCAGACATTGTTTTGAGGTAATATGGCAAGGCCGTGGTCTAGGCAACACGGAGTTTTCCTCCGGGGGCTTCCCCGGTTTCTCCGTGGCATCCCAACAATTACTCCATTCACACACAGAAGAAGGCAATGGCAAACCACTTCTGGATCATCTGCCAAGAACAGGTCCCAGTCCGAGAAAAGGAAGGAAGGATCCTGTTCATATGGACCTATCGTCAGACAGAACACTATTTAAAAAATATAAATAAATAAATAAATTCTTTCCACCGCAGCATCAAATATTCGCCTAGCCGAATACAGAACCGCCCGTCACATCCAATTTACAGTCCTATCCTCCCATCTAGGAAGTGCAGACAGCTCGTTCGGTACAATAACTAGGCGACTGGGACTTTTCTCTCCTTCACAGTGTCTTAAGGCAACCAATCTCCTATCCAATGGGTGTCGGGGGATCTTTTCCCCGGCTGCAACGATACCTTCGCGTGAAGGTCACCAGTGAGGGCTCACCTCCATCTGATGCCAAGGTTATAGACTAGGGGAGGATCGTTTATGTTAACCGTGCTTTTTCGGCTAACACTTTAAAAATCGAAAGCCTTCTGTCTTAATTTTGTGATTTAGTGGTACTCTATACACTGGAGCACATCAGAACCGATCACATAAATACATTTTTAGCCAGCTAGTTGAGGCTTACGCTCGCGACGAACGGTGTTCGGTTCTGCTGTTTCAGTATATGGAGTACCGCAGAACTACGAAAGGAAGACTGAAGTTATTTTTCGTTTTTTCGAAGTGTTAGCCGGTACGACACGGTTAACACGAACGCTTTGCCTAAAAATCTGTACTCCTCCCGTAGTATTGTCAGGGGGAGTAAGTCGAGAAGAATGAGATGGGCTGGGCATGTAGCCCGCATGGATGGGACAAGAGGTGTGCACCGGGTATTGGTTGGGAAACCTGAAGGGAAGAGACCGCTGGGGAGACCTAGACGTAGATGGGAGGATAATCTCAGGCGGGATCTATGGGAGATAGGAGTTGAAGGAGACTGGATTTTGTTGGCCCAGGACAGGGTCCGGTGGAGGGCTTTGGTTAATTCGGTGATGAACCTTCGGGTTCGGTAAGCCATCTAGTTAGTACATTTCCATTATTATTTTATGGAAGTGAGGCTAGCAGATGTGTGGTGCGTGTTTCAGTCCGTGTGTGACTTTGTTGTTGCAGACATACGCTTGCCTCCACGTGTGTGCGGGTTTTGCCACCAGCAGCGCTCCATGCTGCTCTCCTACAGTAAGTGTGTGGCATGTGTCCTCCTGTCTTGCTACATGTTATGCTTATGTTGATGTCATTAGGTTGATCATATCAGTTTTGTAGCTACACGTTTCATGTTGGAGGTTTTGGAAAGAAAGCCATGTCATTGATTAGTGTGTGAAACACAGTAAAACTTTACGTCACGTTCAGAACCGGTTAGCATTAGAGAATGTTTGTCATAACAAGTACCCAGGATGGACGGTCAGAACGTAATTGAGAATTGTCAGACGTATTCTTAGTTTTTCATTGTTTTGTTCTGTGCACGGATTCTAAACGTAAAACTACGCACAAAGCTTGGTCATGTCTTATGGCGAAAGTGTTATTAGTTTCTGTTAGTCTGTAATGCTTCCTTGTTGCATGTTCCGCTTACCAGTTTTTGTCTTGTTGATTTCATGCATTCTTTACAAAACGCACACGTTTTACCCTGGCTTGCATAATCTATTCAAGAGTCACCCGTATCGGCTCAGTATAACCTCTTCGGTAACTTACACGAAGGCAAAATAAATTATGTATTTGTTCTAGAAAATACAGGCTCAGACGTTGCTCAACTACGGAAATTTTATTTAAAACATTTGTCGATTTAGCGAAATATTGAACGAAATATGAAGTAAAACGATTTCTGACTGCAGTGTGATGTGTGTAGTGCGTTCTGCAGTGTAACGTTTAATTTGTTCTACAATACATGAACGCTAATGGCAGGACAGTGCACATATTCGAGAATATTGGCTAGAGAAGTTGCAGGTTTGCATTAGTAATTGTAGGCCCCTAACTCACAGTGTATGAGTTGCATAATTTCTGATCGTGTAGATTCAGATAAAATCTGAACATTATGATATGACAGCTTCAGAGATTCGCTTGTAATATTTAAGAAAAAAAATTCCACACAAAAATGTTAAGTAAGCCTATATTGATAAATAATTACCGCGCAAAATTGCACGAGCGTACTTTCAATAATTAGTCAGTTATTGCTTTTGAACGATAAAGCGCATTATCGTCTGACTGTTTTGCACGATTAAAACCAGTAGGTTTTACCTACTTTTAGAAGAAATATCCTCAGCCACGGTTTCGGAATTGATACTGAAATGGCTGTAGTGCACCTCCCCCTTCAGAAGTTATATTAAATATTGAAGAAAAAGAATGAAATAACCACGGATGACCTCCAAGGGCAGTACGTTGGAAAATTTATCTAAAGCCGATCAGCAGGTGAACATTTGTCGGTGTCAGGGTAAAGGGGTGAAAGTTCAGATGTCGAAAAACAAATGTCGAAACGTTCTCACAATTGGAGTTGATCGGTATTTCCATAACGGCATAAGTGTACATATGAACGTCAGGGTGTATTCATTGTTTTGATAAATTACATTTAACATGATATCGGCTGTAAAGTAGCAATTGTATGTCGATTGTAATCTCTGGTCTTAGCTCTTGCCCTGACGTCAGCGAAGTATAAGGAGAGGTTCATGTTATAAAGATATTATGTGTATTAATGGTATGGGCATTACTTTAAAGTGGGTTTGACGCAAATACGTATTGGGCTAGATTTTAAAATGGACTATAGTTTACAGAAATAATCTGTTGTTTTTATAAAAATAGACATTCCTTTTGTATTGTATTATGAAAGTGAAAAGACGAATCATATTGTACGTATTGTTTGTTTGATAAATGTAATATAGCCGCATTTTTACGTTAAGTTGGATTGAGTTAACCTTGGGTTTGTAAAACGGGTTTAGGATATACTACTTCGGCGGGAAAGAGGCATAACATTTGTATTGAGACTTCATTTTTTTTTTTACAGTTCGACCTTGTCTTCAACAAACATGCCGTATCTCTGTTCCGGAGATAAGTTGCTTGATTATGTTCAGGAAAGAATAGGGTTGTTTGTAAGATTTAAGGTTTTCACAGCGGTGAGTATGAAGATATCTGTCTTCTGAGTTGTTGCGCTGTGTAGTCTGGTCGATGTTAAACGTTTCAGAGGTCAAACTGCCTCTGTCATCAGGGCAGTATGACCTCTGAAACGTTGGTATACATCTACCTTACTACAAGGCGCAACAACCCAGAAGACAGAAATCTTCAATAGGGTTGTTTATTTGGAAAACCGAAGGGATTCTATAAACGCTCTTGTGAACAAAATATCCAGTTATTGAACGCTAAATCATGTGGTCCACAGTTATTAATGTCATTTAAAGAGGTAATTGTATACAGTATCCGGTCTAAAGAGACGAAACACCCAACCAACAGCAATGTTTGTGTACGAATGTGGGGACAAAGGGTGTGGCCCCAAATGCGGAAACGGATGTGGTGATGTGACGAAAATCTATCCCGGCACGAATGGAAAGGTGCATTTTCGAAATTTGTTTGCTTTCTGCACACCCGCATAGAATTCGGTGTTTTTCATATATAATATAATAATAACTATGTCAGACGAGGATGATTGTGTACTGTTTATGTAGAATTCATAGGTGGTATGAGACTGCATTCATAATTTTGGGCAGAAGCCCTCAACGGATGAGAGACAAAGTCGAAGTTGGTACGGGCTACATGTTTCTGCTTTTGAACAGCTGTTATAAGCACAGCGAAATAAATTTATAGGCATTTTGTAATTTGACTTAATGACTGTTTGCTTTAAAATAGTAGCAGTTGTTATTGTAATATTAATATTTTAATATTTTCCGTCAAATCACAATTTTAATAAGATAATAAAATATAAAATATCATTTCACGTTCCGTATCGAATGATCGATTTACAAATTGGATTGATATTGTAAAAAAAGTAATTTGAACTTCAGCGGGGAATTGTTTATTTTATATGTATCTTTATCCTTCTACCAAACCTTTATTTCTTTATCTCCTTTCCTGATTTCCCCATTTCTTTTCCCACGCCTTTCATCCGTCAATCCTGTCGCCATTCCAACCCCGTTTCTTTCTTAACCGTATTTCATCTGTTCTGCCGCGTTGCGTTGTTTGAACTTTTCCGCGGGGTCTGAACCCATGTAAATAGAGCAAGCATGAATCATTAAAGTGTATTTTATGTAATGCAGATGGAGCCTTTCTACTGTCTGTAAACTGCACAAGTAGCAAAGTGCATGTTTTGCTTATGAGTGTTGCACGTAAACTATGACATTATGTTAGCAAGATATTTTCTTAGTAGGATACTAAAATGGTTGTCTTGTTTGACTGTTTGCACTGGGTGTAGAAACTCATAAACTTTAATTGCAATTACGCGTTGTATACTTTGGAGATCATGTGATTTGCTTGTAAAATATAATTAACGCGTAAACCAGATGTTTAATTGGAAGCACGTTTCTGGGAGTTGTTACACTCGTTAAACATGCCCAAGTATATAAAACTTGATTCTTTCACGTCGGCTAGAAGTGATACGATCTTTTCGGGCGATCGGCCTCGTCAATTCGGTTGAAACGTCCGACGTTTCATAGACTTTGATCTGTCCATCATCAGGGAATGCGATGCCAGGTTTTTTTTGCTCCGAATTGTGAATGGACGGACAGACAAACATGGACAAACAGCTTCGGTTCGAATCCGCCTAAAATACATGCTGCATGTAACCACGTGCAATCCGTGCTCTAATGATTAAAATCTTCACTTTTCGTCGCCGATGTGTTATTACAACAAAGTTTAATGGAACATTTACAGCTCAGAGATCAAAAGTACGAGGGTCGCTCATTAAGTAATGCCCCACATTTTTTTTCTCAGCCAATAATGAAGATAGAAAAGTGTACTTTTACATGCTTGAGATTTGATGTTTCCCGCGTTCGTGTACGGAGTTTCAAATGATTCCAACCGATAGCGGAGCTGTAGTGAACTGTTAAAATGGCGTCTGTGAACGACTCTCGGTACAAGCAACGAGCTGTAATTGAATTCCTTGTTGCTGAAAAAGAAACGGTGGTGAACATTCATAAACGTTGGTGTGCTGTGTATGGAAGCTGTGCAGTCGATAGGAGCACCGTTGGTCGCGGGGCTAAGAGAGTTAAAGCTTCAGGAAGTGAAGAAACCGAGCTCC